ACTGTTATGCTATAACTATAACCTTGGTCTGCATAGGCTCTCCCTTTTTACAGCTGCATGCAATCACTGCAGGAACTCTATCAGCAGTTGCCTGTGTTTGAAATGACCATCAGWTCAACAGCTGTGTGCACAGTGATTGCAGGTCAGCCCCTGATTATCTGTAAATGGGAGCTATTATGAAAAGAAGGTACTGGGAAGGAACAGGTCCATGAAAAGCAGACCAAATATTTACATGGATTTTGCCCCTGTAGAATTCAATCACCTCCTTATGCAACATGTATAATTTATCATCACAATTTGATGAGGTAGGAGATCATTGGTGTTCTCCCTGGAGGTGAAAACTCGGACAAAGCAACTGAACTTGACAAATACCATAGAAAGATTCTGAGATAAAGTCAGGTATTAAACATAGAAACATTTATGGTAAGAAACAAGAAATGATCTTATAGTAAAATGCTCTGGGCTGAGAATGAAGTTCTCTCCAATCTCAGTCCAGAAGATTTTACTGTAAGACCATTTCTGAATAGGAAAAGGCATTACAAAGTCTCAAAATACTTCAGATTTTGGAGAGCCCTTCCACATTAAAAAGAGGAGAAAAAAGTGTCCAAAATACTCTTTGCGGGAAAGATGTTCCACATCAATACACACAAGATATTTCTACTCTTCCACGTTTTCCAAAAGTAGTGTTTAACATAGTTTTTCATTGACACCAAAAAAAAAAAAAAAAACAGGAGGCAAACACTTTTTTTTAATAAAAGTTCTACTGAACAGGGTTAAAAGCRCCACATTATGTGAAGGGAATAACCCCAGGACCCAGCTTAACAGGTTTCCTCTTTTTTCCTATAATTTTTTCCACCTTATTTCAGATGCAAATTAAGTGAATTTTTTTTATCTTCTTTATCTTTTTGATGGATAAATAATCAAAATAACATATTCTTGCTTTAACTGCAAAATGATGAAAGGCCTTGTGAAAACAGAGTGGAATCCTTAGAACTCTCACAGCTCCACATGACTCAGGGGACTTGTATCTCAAGTTCACATCCGACTGCCGACCAGAGTTCAGGATAGTCTCGAGTTCAGGGTGTACCCACAGTGCTCTCCCAGGCCAAGGTTCACTTTCAGTCAAACCAATTTGTAGAGGAGAATGCGCCTCTTCACATGATAAACAGACTAGTCCACAAACATAAGCAACGAGACGTTATAAATCCATCACAAACCCTCTAGAATGACACTCAAATATCCCTCAGAGCTATTCTGGTGGATATTCAGAGCATCCTGCAAGTAAATGGGGGAGACTATTAGCATCTATCTTGCTCTTGGCAAAGAAGTCTGAAGAACTTTGATTCAGGAAAGACAGATGAACAGATGGGAATCTTATTGTCCCTACCACACTGAGACAAAAGAGCTCTCCTGTGCTCTTTCCARGTGAACAACCCTATTTCATGCCAGCCAGCAGAACTACTGTTATCTTCAAGATTAGGACATACGTTTTTGAAGTGGTTGACATCCAATGTGTCTTGTTCCTAGACTTGAGACAACACCTGAAAGTATTAAGTGCTTTCTGAACCATTGTCCAATTTTAACACTTTGTCACCAAGGCCTGAAATAGAGAAAGCAGCTTATATGATGGCTTGTACCTCTCTAGCTCATAAGCAGAAGTACATATAAGGTGCTGGACAACCTAAAAGTCAATGCATCTGTGTTCCACATTTACATTTGGAGGCAGAGAGAAAACCAAAAAAAAAAAATCAACTTGCTAGTCCAGCTTCTGCAAGTGTTTGGTACAGACATTTTTAGAAGCTGTTCCTTTGTACTTGTGAAAGCATGAGAAGACGGCATAGGAAACACACACCCCCCAAAAAAATCAGATTTATTACTCTTAAAAATGGGAGGATATCAAGTTGTATCCTCCAGAATACTSTTAAAATACTACTAAGACCTCCTATGCACAGGAAGAACTACAGAAAGAACCCAGACTGCTTTCTTTTGATGCCGCAGCCTTTTTGCGTGACCATAAATACATGCTGATCCAATTCCCGTCATGATTTACTCAAAAGGATTATAGTAGCACCAAGTAAAGAGCACGGGTCATTTAATTCTGTAGTTCTGTACTTAAACCACAAGACTTTCTTACTCTACAGAGGACAGCCTCAGACACAGACTAAGCTTGTCCTCTGTGAACCACACACGATTCTTTTTGTCCTAACCAACAACCCTCTGCACAATAAAGAGCAAATCAGAACCAGATGTTAAAAGAGAAATAAAGAAAGAAAAGGAGACCACAACAGACACTCCTATCGTTCATCTACTAGTTCAACCARTGACCCAAGTTCAACCTCCTGAAAGAGCCATACAACAGAATATGAAGTGCTCCCCATGCCTGAAATGAAAACATGCAGTGAAAGAGTCATTAAACCTGAATAAACTGACCCGGAGTTCAATAAACAAGCTTTAAGACACTAATGATAAGAAGATGAAACATCCAGTACAAACAAGAATATCGTTGCACAGCAAGAACTCATGGAAGCTATTTAAGACGCAAAGAGGCCTATCAACTTCGCCTCAAAATATTTGCTGTTTATTTCCACTTATCTTTTCTGCAGGTACAACACATGTCTTTTGCAGGGACAGGCTGACACATACCTTTACTGTTTGGTACGGTTCAGATAGCAATGATTTTCGTTACAGACCTACTCTGCTACACTCCAGTGTCTCTGATTAACTTTTGTTAGTATTGATCAGAGCTGTGCGTCCCAGGCAGAGAGAAAATACAGCACCTCACCAGTCCTTACCTCCCAAAGAGCACAAAAGTTTATATGACAGCTGCTTTCCAGGAGGTCTAAAGGTTAGAAATATACAAGCACTAAGCACTGGGTGGACACAGCTCCACATGAGGCCTACAGCTCACAAGAGGCACRGGAACACAAGCTAAGAGCATTACAGAGAGACCCAGCTACGGGTAAGAGTATTCAAGCTCTAGATTCTGCCTTTTTATCCTTTAAATTTCACTGTTCTCTCCATTTTTTTTAATGCGTTGCATTCCCTAGACTTATTTTTCTTTATATTTGAGAGGGAAAGAGGTACTGTAGGATGAACAGAGCAAGAGGGCAAGCACATGACAAGTTTAAGGGATAGTTCTGCTCAGAAACACACCAAATAGTTTAACAATATGCTGGGTACTTGCACCTGCTAATAATCTACAAGCACAGAAATAAAACACAGGTCTGTCTCAAAGCTCATCAAATTCCTGAAATCAAACTTAATAACTATACGGTCATGGTCCTCCAGTCACACTGGTGGTAGCAGCCACAGAGAAGAAACTCAAGTTCACGCTCCCTTTCAGGTAAGTTTTTTCAGTGGATGTTGTRCTAGTGACCTAGCTGAGCAAGGAGGATGAGGATGGCCATTGGGTCCCCAACACCTCAAGTGGTCATCACAGCATCTCAAGTTGAGACAGTGATGGTGGGAGGGCTTGCTACTGTGGTGTCTCTTGGAATGATTTATGACTGATACTCATCAAAAGCCAATATTGGTCAGTTTGCCTTGGTGTCTGGAGTCACTCCTGAGAAATCCTTCCAAGGCTGCATTTGGAATCTSTTTGTCCAAATCTCACTGTCCCAACAGTGAATTCCACTGGAGAGAATTCCCATCGCAAAGGACAGAATTCAGCATACATCAAACATCTGCTAAGCTGGGCATCAAGAGTGAGGCATTTCCATAAAMCTAAAAGGTTGGATACATATCTCCTTCCTATGAGGAACRGAGAGCTGCAGGGGAAGASAGATCTCTTACCTAATCCATGTACRCAGCACCTAAAAATTAGTGTGCTAGTCTAAAAGCAGCAATTCTCTCAGTCTGAACACATCAGCATTTCAGTCAACATATCTTCATGGAGACAATCTCAGGAACATTACACCAAGATTAACCACAAACCCAAGGAAAAGTGTTATACGTGTTATCTCAGCAAGTAGAAAAGTGCACAGTCCTGCTGCCACTCACCTCTTTGCTAAGGATCCCCAYATTTTTCTCATCGCTCTTTAATTTTGAAGGCCCTTCAAACATCTACCATCTTACTTTTTCTTATGCAAGAGCTGACTTCTGATCTATTCTARTAAACATTTTAGCCTGAGAGAGCAAGATTGAAAAAAATGGGATCTATCTGATGCCTTGCAAGGGTAGAGGCTGTGATTTCCTTCCTTCTCCTCCATCTAGACATACATTTCATTCTAGAGAGCATATGAGTAGCTTATTACTGTTTTGATGAGCTCTGCCCACAAACACCAGCTGTCAAGCAGATTAGGAAGACCCCCAGCATTGCATTACCAGAGAAGTGACRACCACCCCAGCACTCCCTCGCTTCATAGGGGATCTCAAAAACTGGTGCAGTTTGGAAGCCATGTCCCCTGTCTCCTCTTTCTGTGCAGTAACAGCACCACCTTTTGGCTCCATGCACAATGCAGCAAGTTGCAAGGAGCTGACATTTCCAAGAGCRCACTGCTCCAAAAACAGCTCTTCAGGTGGCTTAATGGTGCTCGCTCCCTCTACAAGTCTTGTCTAAAGAAAAGGGATTCTCATGAGCTCATGAGTCAAGGAGTCATTCAGTCACCCAATAATCTGTCACCTGAGTGCCTTTTTYCCCTAACCCAATGGCTTTCCAGATAAGATAACTGGTTAGCAATTAATTCCACCTCCACCCAGCTCTTCATCCCAAGCCCAGCCAAGTGGGTCCTAGCACTGCTTAGRACACGTGGTCAATTTAAGCCCTGAGCACCCATAAACATGCCAATCCTTTGACCCATCTCYAAGAGGGCCTAGTAGCACAAGGTCACCCAACATAGGAACAGCAGGCACAGCTTCCTAGAAACAAGCAGGAGTGAACAGTGTGTCTGAAGCTGGGTGTGCAGCTTGCAGGGACACAAAATAAGGGGAGTGTTTTGAGGTGAGGAAGTAAGAACCTGAGATACAAGAAAAGAGAATACAACTCACACTTAAACCCTCACCTTAAAACTGCTTGAGCCAAGGGCTGAAGCCTTGCATAAGTGTCTTCTTTTGCAGATGGTTCCAGTCCTACAT